ATGTGAAAATTAATGTTTCGGAAAATCATATATAGTTTTCCAAATAGTTTTTTGAATATTCACGAGCATCAAACATATTATTTTATAGATTTTCAAGGGTGTACATTACGAATTAAGCACTTTTTAATATATTTCAGAAAAATCTGTTTTCTCTTAAATTTTTTGCGACAGCATAAAAAATTGTTAAAAGTAATAAATAAAAAAAATTATAAAACAATTTTTTTATTATATCTGCAGCTCCAGAAAATTCCTGTCCTATTGTCATCAAATTTAAATTTTTGAATTTCATTATACAAATTTATATTTTTTAATAATCAAAGTAAAAAAAGAATTCAAAAAGATTTTTTTGGAAAATATTAAAATGAGCATAAATAATTCATAATGTATACCCTCGAAAACCTATAAAATGATANGCACTTTTTAATATATTTCAGAAAAATCTGTTTTCTCTTAAATTTTTTGCGACAGCATAAAAAATTGTTAAAAGTAATAAATAAAAAAAATTATAATACAATTTTTTTTATTATATCTGCAGCTCCAGAAAATTCCTGTCCTATTGTCATCAAATTTAAATTTTTGAATTTCATTATACAAATTTATATTTTTTAATAATCAAAGTAAAAAAAGAATTCAAAAAGATTTTTTTGGAAAATATTAAAATGAGCATAAATAATTCATAATGTATACCCTCGAAAACCTATAAAATGATATTCATAAATATTCAAAAAACTATTTGGAAAACTATATAAGATCTTCCAACAATTTTCAGCAATTTTCTGTTCTCTAATTCACTTTTGTTATTTAAAAATGAATTGACCATTATTTTGGCTCCAAAACGATAATTTTCACATAATCTGTACTTCATTTTAAAAATATTCGAGAAAACTATTGGGAAAATCGAAATTTTTCATAGAAACAATTGTGTAGAAAATTTAATTTTGAACATCTATTTGAAACTTTTTTTTCGAAAAAATACGCGAAAAATGTTATACAGGTTCGGAAAGTCCCCATGGTACATCGGTCGTTACGTGAGAGCGATAAAGTAAGTCATAGAAATCCGTGCGATAGACAAGGATGGTTACAATGAAGACGTTTCATAATCTGAATAGTCACCGCCCGTTTCGGGTTAAAACTGGGAGTAGATTATGAAACATCTTCACTATAGCCATCCTTGTCTATCGCATGGATTTCTTTACTTTACTTTGTCGCTCTCATGTAAAGGCAGATGGACCATGTGGATTTTCCAGCCCTGTATATATTTCAAAACGCTGTATATTGCTGGTGACACATGTTTTCTAACCTCAAAACCTACACTTTTCTATAAAAAAAAGACTCACGAGGAAAAAGTTTTCTCATTTTTTCCTTATTTTCCTGAACTACCACAGGAAACAAGCTTGTTGTTAAAAAAATGTAATAATCTGATTACATTACACTATAAACTCGCACAAGAAATAATGAAAAACGTGTTTCTACAAAAAAACACCGAAATGCTATTCATGTTTGTTGTAGCAAAAACCAGTCGATATGAAGTTTGTTAATTAAAATATTTTGGTTTGCTCTGAAAGCCTTGAGCTAATAAACGTAACTCTGCAAACTGTTTAAATATGACACAATAGCGTTGATCGATAAGAGAATTGGATATAGAAAGTTAAAAAAACTTTTGGAAAAACACTAAGGGCAATTACGGGACGAAAACTGTTAATAGCCTACTTTAAAGAATAGAAAACATAACATCAATGGATCTCACAAACTCACCCGACATAAAAATGTCAAATAAGTGACGCAAGCCTCCGTGTTGAACAAATTTCCTCACCCAAGGCTCCTCCTCGTCTTCCTCCGGGTACTTGCTGGGACACGTTTTAACACTGAGAGACTCGACGATGTACAGGGAGTACATCAGTTTTTGGGCACTAGAAGGATCTAACAGTTCCGACAGAGGTATATCTAGGTGTTTGAAGCCTTGCAGCAGTTTAGGACTGGTAGGCATCAAACTTAAGATATCCCACACCCTCCTGCTAAGAACTTGAGCTTTCGTGTGAGGCAGTTCACGCTAAAAAAATTATAAACATAGATTTTGAACGCTTCGCTTCCCGTAAATTTCCACTGCTCAGCAATAGCTCAACTTACACCTCCTTTCATTTGGATTTTCATGGAACTGAGATTGTGCATCAAGGAGAATAATTGCTCGAAATAGTTCGGCTGAAGCAGGAGAAGAGTTGGCAGGGACTCCCTCGGGGGCGCCGGTTGCAGGGAGGGAGCATCTAGGCACTCGCGTTTCTTCATGTTCCTAGACATCCCTATTGAAATGTAAACCATCTGCAAAGTAAAAGACATACACAGGGTGCCCCAGAAAAAAATGTCAACCAGAAACACCTCCGGTCAAAATAAAATGATTTAGAAAAATCTATCTATATACAAAAATGGTTCCTTTAAGGGGGAAAACCACATTAGGAGATTGATTTTCAGATGTTTCTCATGAATTTTTTTGAGTGGAACAAATTGATCAGAATTTGATCAATCTTTGACATTATTTTATTAATATTTAGTCATTTGTGTTGAAATTACGAAGTTATGGGCTGTTGTCCACCGAAGGTCATCGTCTGAGTTAGTTGTTCACAAGAAATGTGGAGGTCGCAATTTTGATCTGAAAGCAAAATGATTGTTTTCCCCAATTATAATATGTTTTTCCAAAATATGACCTCATCGCAGGTAAAAATTGTGAAAATTGAAGTTTTAACACGTGTTTGAAAAGAAAGTATCGATTTTCACCACTTTTTTTTCACCTATTTTGAATAAAAAAACACAAAACAAAAAAAATTATGACATCATCCCAATCGTTGGTTCATGTTCTTTGTAATTTTATAAAGAAACACACTTTCAATTTTCATAACCATCAGTTCATAACTTCTTGAGCTAGAGTTCCTGTGAATCAAAAAATGTCGTTTGTTCTTTTCTTAATAAGTGACTAGACTACCTGAACAAGCACTCCGCCCTACCTGCTGTGCATTTGAGCGCTGCCCGATGTGCGTTTGGTTTTAGGCTCATAAAATCGGAACGAACAGGAATTTTTTTTTGACACTTTGGCAGCGTATTCTCGAATAATTCTAATAACAATTTATGCAATAAAAAAAATCCGATTTTTTAAACCTCCTAATGTAGTTTCCCCCCCTATATGCGAACCAATAGAGATTTTTTGGCATACTTAAATATTACAGTAAATTTTATGTATTACCCTTTGAAAAATAGTTAGTAAATGAAAACCCAAGTGATTTCCCCCAGCAAAATTGTGAACATTTTTTTTTAAACAATAAAAACTGCAAAAAAATTAATTTTTTTTTGGTTTTTTTATAATATCTCGGAAAAAAATAATGATGGAATGGTGTTACTCTCAATAGGACTATTGCAGAGAATAAAAAAACCTATAAAATAGTTTTTTGTGCGACCCGATCGATTCATTTTTTTACAGAGAAAATCCAGAAAAAAATCTAAAATAGACCTCTTTTCAAAAATTCATAACTTCATCAAATTTGAAGCTGGAAAAACAATCTTGTGGAAAATGACAGATATGTAGTTTAATCGTGCGCAAGATGGTTTCTGTGCGATGCATAACTTTTGCACAATTGCATTAGGGTCTTTTTTTGCACATCGTAGTGATTTATTAAAACATGGTCCGATTTAAATTCTGAAAACGGCATCTGAAAGTGGACGACAAAATCTCCAATTTCTATATCTCGGATTTTCACCTGGGGGATGGGAAATATGCTAAAAATGCCCTTGAAAGTCGCCCGAAACAATTGAAAGTAGGCTCGAGCCACGCTGTGCAAAAAAAGACCGTAATTTGTTTACAATGAAATTGTGCAAAAATGTGTACTATGCATCGGATAGAAACCATCTTGCGCACGATTAAACTACATATTATTATCTTTCATTTTCCGCAAGATTGTTTTTCCAGCTTCAAATTTGACGGAGTTGTGAATTTTTGAAATAAGGTCTATTTTATAGGTTTTTCCGGATTTTATCTGTAAAAAATGAACTAATCGGATCGCACAAAAAAATATTTTATAGGTCCTATTGAGAGTAAAACGATTACATCATTATTTTTCGAGATATTAAAAAAAAACAGAAAAATTAATTTTTTTGCAGTTTTTATTGTTTAAAAAAAAAATTGTTCACGACTTTGCTGGGGAAATCACTTGGGTTTTCATTTATTAAGTATTTTTCAAAAGGTAATACATGAAATTTACTATAATATTTACTTGTGAAATTTGGCCTACTAAAGAATACAGAATGTTAAACTAGATTTTTCAAAAAATATTTTTTCTTAATACATATCTCCAAAAAATTTTATTCTGAGGTTGCATGAAGGATATTGTTAAGTGTAAGTTTGTCTAAATCATTTTGTTTTTAATCGCAAGAGTCCATGGTCACCAGACTGGCCTTTTCTTGAGGCACTCTATACAAATAATGTAAATTA